CCGTCTCTTTCTCCCTTTCTTTCTCTCCTTCTCTTCCCTCTTTTCACGGATTGCTCATATTTAAAGCCTGATTTACGCAAACACACAAACCACTGGGGAGACCGACCTGCAATGATGCTTCTCTATTCCCCAGACGCGACAATGCAATCATCTGCCTCCATTTCAGAGTGTGTGTGTGTGTGTGTGTGTGTGTGCGTGTCTCAAATGCGTCTTTAAGGGGCTGGATTTAAAGGCAAAGAGAAGATGAGCAGGGAGGAAGTATAGGGGATTTCAAGTGGTCATCTGTAAGTCAAACTGAACGTTATCAGAGACCGCAGCGTTACGTAATCTCCAGTAGGTTTGTTTCACGAGATTTCTCACCGTTCGTGCAAAAAAAAAAAAAAAAGAGCTTAAATCTATCAGAAAATGGCTTAAAATTAGTGAAATTATCTGTCCATGCTGCAAGATCATTCACCTGACAAGTTATCTTAAAATAAACTAGAATTAAACAGTCTCAGAACTAGTAATAAATCTGAAAAGGAGATAAATGACCTGATATAAGTTTGAAAATCTTCGCCAGATCAGAGAAATTTGCAGTGTGAGTTTCAGCTTTCTGTTATATGGTGCCATTTTGAGGACCGGTGACCATTCAAAAGATATAAAACCATATTAAAGAACTGCTAGATTTTTATTATATTGAAATCACAATTATTCAAACGATAATTTTTTTTGTTACAAGATGTATTTATTCAGAAATTTCCTCTCACAAAACAAAAAAACCCCCCCCCAAAAAACACTTAATTATAATAATTTATGCAAACTTTCAAACTGAAAATAAATATAGGCTACAAATATGTGCCTTAGAGCAGTTTTGCGATGTATAAAATATAAAATGAATAAAATATACTTTCAATATGAAATAAGGCATAGAAAAACATAAATGGATCCAAAATAAACTATATATACAGGAGGGATGGGCATTCGATAACATTTTCTTAATTGATCTTCGGGAGAATTAACAATCGATTTTTTATTAATCATTCATGTTTTCATCATCATTATTATTACTTTTACTAATCTGCGTAAATAAACTCAACTTTACAACATATAAACCATAAACACTCTAGAGCCCGTTTGAGATTATGATGTGTTCAATGCAGCTTTGACACATTTGTTTATGTTTTACAGAAATTAAACTTTAAATCACATGACTCATTTGAATAAACTTGAAGAGCTGAACCCCCCCCCAAAAAAAAACAAAACAAAAAACAAAAAAACAGCTCTTTCCTTGTGCGCTGATGCGGTTCAGCTTCTGTCGGACTAAAGGACTCGACTCAGTGGAATATGAGTGTTCTCTCTGTGACAGAGGGATGTTGATGATGATGATGGTGAGTGTGTTCTGTGTGTGTGTCGTGTTGGAGATGGTTCATGTTTTCAGAGATCAGACGTGTGCAGGTTTAGTGCAGCTCTTTATTTAACATCATTTCACTTTATTTATTTATGTTGGTCACTTTATTTATGTTGGCTTCTGTTGTGATGAAAAGACTGAAAACTGTTTGTCTGTTAGACGCATGTGACTCAACTTTATGTTGCAGTAACCGGGATACTGCGTTTACATGCACCATGACGAAACCGGGACACTCAAAAAACTCCGATCATACCCGGGACACAAACCTGGGACTGTGAGGCACAACTCCAGTGTTTGTGTCAGACGCAGCCTCCTCTCCTTACGCTACAAACAGCATCCTCCATTCGGTTTGTTGATTAAAAATGAACGTGATCGACAAAATTCTTAATGATCAATTATCAATTAGTCGACTAATCATGCCCATCCCTAATATCCAGCTATTCTATAATCTCTATATTTAAAAATAAATAAATAAATAAATATACTTGTTTATATCAAAATATCCTAAAATAAACTTTGTTAAGCTTTGAATAGTTTCAACTCGATTATATGAGTTTGGAGATCGTTTGACACATAAATCAAAATCACGATTAAACTTCAATTAATTGCACATTGGTAATTGTCATACCGCGTTACGCTTTGATTTGTTAATTGCAATGGGATTGATCCAAACTTCTCATAATTCTGAATGGATATTTTGGTGAATCTTTGGTGGAATTTGCTGTTTAATTGTCAGATTGCAGATTTGTTGACCTGGTTTATTTTTAATATCTTTGTCATTACTGGGGCCAATCCACATGGAACAAAAACTGAGCTGGACGTCTTCTCTGTCAGGATAAATAAACCAAATTCTAATGTTTTATTCACAATAGCTTCAGAAAATCGTGTGATTATTTAACCTCAAAGACCAGTGTTGTAATGGAAACTTGAAAGAACTAAGTCACTTTTGGCAGTAGAGCTCCCCCTGCAGCTCCCCTACGAGAATGCACTCAGAGAACAAACTAAAAGCGCTCACATAATCACTTACAAATATTTTATACATATTTAACCACCACAGAAACTCACAAAACCATGAAATGCTTAGTTCTGCTTTCAGCCTTAAGATTAATGTGGTTTGTGACACCAATTATACTTGAACATTCATCTATTGAGTCTTCTTTTTGTAGTACAGTTTTCCATTTTCTTATAACAATACAAAAATGCTGTATGAGCTTATTTACTTGAAATGTTTTGGTGGTCGGACCTTCATTAGAGGTGGGAGCTGACGAGTGTGACGTGTTATCAGCTCCTTTTTCATTCCCTCTCTATTTCTCTCTCACCTCTTCTTTCATTCTCTTCTCGCTTTTCTCTTGTCTCCCTCTTCCCCCTCTAATTTCCTCCCATCCTCTCTCTCCTCTCCCCCTTTTCCTCTCTTGTTCCCCCCTCTCTCCCTCTCTTCTCCCACCTTCCTTCTCTCTGAGCTTTGGAGATGAAGACAGACTATCTTATTTTTCAGACTATAAGTAGCTCCAGAGTATAAGTTGCACCAGCCAAAAAATGCATAATGAATAAGAAAAAAACAACAACATATAAATCTTACCGGACTATAGGTCGCACTTTTTGGGTGAAATTTATTTTATTACATCAGACCAGGAACTGACATTTCATCTTCAAAGTCAAGTTCTAGTAATAACAATAGAACAGAGAACAACAGACTGTTAATGTCACATATGAACAGTTCTTCAGATAAACTATAGCAAGTTTAACAAACTCTCCATCTCACTCCAAATCACTAAATCCATTGAATTCTTCATCCTCGGTGTCACTTCTGAGCAACTCCATGACCTCCGGAGGTAAACAGAGCGCTGCTTCCTCTGTGTAGCTGTTGTCAGACTCAGCATCAGTTCCAGTTAGAATTATTCCGGTCTTTATCCCGACAGGATGGTTTCATTTGTCACTGAATTCCAGGCTTTGTTGATTCATCCAGTGACTTCCAGGAAAGTTTCATGGTGCATCCTCAATCCGTGTATCATTCGTTCATTAGTTTTTCAATATAAAACCAAAAATAAGAAAACGAAAAAACAGCAGTTTTCTTCACTATTTGTCTCCAAAACCAAAATGAAAAAAAAACATAACGATTCGTTTTTTCAGTTTTCAATTTTGTGTTTAAATGAAGAATGGAAAAAACGGATAACGGCCGTTTTTTTGTTTACGTGACTTCCGTGACTGCGATGCCGGACTTTTGCACCGCACCCGGTCTCAGTCCCGCTCTGGTCCTGGTCTGGTCTCAGACCTGGATCAGTCCTGGTTCAGTCCGTACGCGATGCAAAAGTTCGGCATCGCAGTCACGGAAGTCACGTAAACGAAAAAACGGCCGTTATCCGTTTTTTCCATTCTTTATTTAAACACAAAATCGAAAACTGAAAAAACGAAGAAAACTGTTCTTTTTTCGTTTTCTTATTTTTGGTTTTATATTGAAAAACGAATACATACATACATACATACATACACAATACACGGATTATCCTCCTGGTGTCACAGGTTTCTCGCTCACTCTAAACTTTCTTTCTGCTGCTCGATTACTGTTTTCGGCTGCAGATTTCGCTTCTTGCAGCTTGTAAGTAAGTAAGTCTTTATTTATATAGCGCTTTTCACAGACATTTTCTGTCCCCAAAGACGCTTTACAGAGCATTTTTCAGCATTATTCATTTAGCATTCATTCATTCTATCATTCATCTATACCCTGGTGATGGTAAGCTACGGTTGTAGCCACAGCTGCCCTGGGGCACATTGACAGAAATGCGGGTGCCATGCCAATCGGCGTCATCGGTCCCTCCGACCACCACCATCACACACACACACACACACACACCACTTTCATACTAAGGCAATGTGGATGAAGTGTCTTGCCTAAGGACACAATGATTGAATTGATTGTATTTAACTGACCTTGATTATCAACTGTTCTTGGAGACCTGTAGCATGTTTTGGGTTGTAATCTGCAAAATATGATTTTCTTTTTGGGGGCATTTGTGTTCAGTCTTCTCAGTTCTTTTCAGTCTTTTTTTAAGTTTGTTTAAAGTTAAAATTTTCAGTGGTACAGAAGTAATGGTGCGATCGACTGACATGATACAGACAGGACAGAGGCTCTTTCTGCAGGAGACATGCGCAGTAGAGCCAGGTGACAGTGGTACAGGAGGAACAGGAGCAGCAGATACTGACACACAAGACTAGAGCGCCCTCTCGCGGCTGTCAGTGTGAACATTTTAAGTCCCACCTGAGTATAAGTCGTAGGACCACGCAAACCATGAAAACAAGTGTGACTTATAGTTTGAAAAATACAGTAATAATAAAGAGTTACTCAAACATGTGTGAATGAAACACAACACAACTCCAGGTCTGTTTGTGATGAGATAACAACATTATAACATGGCTTAAAGCTCTCAAGAGTCCATTTTGCGTCATATAAGACCTTTAAATATAATAAGCCTAAACAATTGTGACGTCGGCTGTGACCTGTAATTCACCCCCGTATCTCAGAACCACAATGGTCTCCACTCGTCTTTTGTTCCGTGTACAAATCTGCATGTCAAATCCTGATTACGACTTCATTCTTGTCTTTGTGTATTGTCAGGTTGTTGGAGAGCTCGATGCTGAACGCAGAAGTGAAAGAGGGCGAGATCCTGCCTCCCACCATCCAGAGACTCATGAAAGGATACAACAAGTACCTGAGGCCCTTCTTTGACAGTAAGAAATCTGCACACAAATGATACTCATTCAGCTCTCTCTATCTCCCTCCTTATGTCTTCCTCTCTCTCCTCACCGTTTCTCTCTCTTTCTCTTCTCATCGTTTATCTCCTCCTCTACCTCCATCCTTCTCTCTTCCTTTCCACTTTATATCTCTCTATATCGCCCTTCTTCTGTTGTCCTCTCTCTCCACTGTTGGGGAGTAACAGATTACATGTACCGGAGTTACGTAATCAATGTACAAATTATGAGTAACTGTATTCAGTTACAGTTACTGTTTTAATGAGAGGTAATTGGATTACAGTTACTTTGTTGAAATAAATGGATTACACGGCGGTATTTTCCTGTTTTCACATTTTGGGCTATATCCCCCCTTTTTTTTTTTTTTTTTTTTTTCAGTAATTCCACTCATTGCTGGAAACTAAACCAGGTATAAATTAGATCTAAACCAGGTCTAAACCAGGTCTAAACCAGGTCTAAACAAGGTCTAAACCAGGTCTAAACCAGGTCTGAACAAGGACTAAACCAGGACTAACCAGGTCTAAGGTCTAAACAGGTCTAAACCAGGTCTAAACCAGGACTAAACCAGGACTAACCAGGTCTAAACCAGGTCTAAAACTAGGTCTAAACCAGGTCTAAAACTAGGTCTAAACCAGGACTAAACCAGGACTATCCCAGGTCTAAACCAGGACTAAACCAGGACTATCCCAGGTCTAAACCAGGTCTAAGACTAGGTCTAAACCAGGTCTAAAACTAGGTCTAAACCAGGACTAAACAAGGACTAAATCAGGTCTAAACCAGGTCTAAACCAGGTCTAAAACCAGGACTAAAACAAGACTAAACCAGGTCTAAAGCAGGACTAGACAAGGACTAAACCAGCAGGTCTAAACCAGGTCTAAACCAGGTCTAAACCAGGTCTAAAACCAGGTCTAAAACAGGATTTAACAGGACTAAATCATGCTGCGCGGACGTGTCTCCTCCTCTTCTATCAATAATATTTTTAATTTTTTTACTTTTTATTTTCTTTTAGCAGACAAAACATCTTATGTTACGATATCCTCGTCTTTGCTTCTCTACAGCAAATCAAGTAATCCAAAGTATTCAGATTACGGTACTCACTTTAAGTAACCTAATGGATTCCGTTATAAATTACATTCTGGTGTATGTAATCTGTAATCTGTAGGGGATTACACTTTAAAAGTAACTTTCCCAACACTGTCTCTCTCTTGTTCTAGCTCTCATTATCTCCTCTCCTCTCTCATTCCCTCTCTCCTATCCACTTTTTTCTCTCTTTGCCCTCTCTGCCTCTTCTCACTCCTCCTTTTTTGTCACTTCTCTTGCTCTTGGCTTCTTTTCTTTCTCATTTATTACCTCCTACTCTTTTCTCTCTTAACTCTTATTCTCATTCTCTTTTCTCTTATCCCTTTACTCCTCCTCTCTTCTCTTTCACTTCCGTGTCCTCTGTTTGGCTGTAAGAATCAGCACACACATGTGACAGGAGACAAAGTCGAGAGACGTGTTTGACAGAGAAACACCTGGACCCCCCCCCACACTCTCGTCCCTATAGAATAATATGTGCTGACAGCAGAGTCACTTTGAAGTGTACTGCATACGTGCATCAAAACAAAGGGAGCTTTCTGTAGCATAAGCGATATGGGTGAGTATAAAGCTTTACAGAAAGTCCATGTTCATAGCCAGATATAGATCCAATCATTATGGCTCTATTTTATGTGTCGCTGACAAATGTCATGTTTTATTAAAAGAAACTATTGCTAACTAAAGTGTGGATCAGGCTGAATTTTTCAGTTCGAGCCCGGCCCGTGTCCAACAGAGCAGTGATTGAATCCGACTCAAGCCCGATAGGCATTAAGATACTTGTGTCCAAACCTGACTGAACCCGACACAATAAAAATTGCCTACTAATGCACGTAGGATATTGTTTGTGTGGCCTCTAACGGACACAAAGATGCAAAATACGAACTTGAGATATAAAGAAAATGATGAGAAACTTTATTACTCACCTCTTGTAAAGTTTTAAATTTAAAGAGGAGCATCTCATCCATATTATCCATAGAAATGATTTTCCTCATATAATGACATCCAGTCCACAAAACAGAGCTACTAATGCAGTTTGAAGCATTCAACGTAAAAAGGCAGGAGTAGTTCCTCAACTGTGTCTGTTTACATCCACACAGCGCACGGATCAAGGTGAGACTGCAGATTCGTGATAGTGATTCTACTTCCTGTGGATTGTTTTTCTACAATTTTTTATGTTTTAAAAATCATGTATCTGAAGTATTTTCTGCCTGTTTTGAGACTATTTAACATTTTGAGACTGGATGATTAGCCAGGCTGCCTTCGCTCAGTTTCATTTCTCTCCAGTGACTAAGTCAGGAATCAGAATACACTAGATGGTTTCCAAGAAACCCGGAAGTTGTAGACCACGCACCAGCCAATCAGCGAAGAGCTGTGAAGCCATGACGTCAAACTCAAGCATCTGTCTGTGTCCTTTTTGTGGAATAACACAACAGTAAACAAAGCGTCGAGATGGATGTAGACGAAGACATACATTCTGTGTTGGCAACGATTCCCGAGATCGAGGATTTAAATTCATTAATAAGAATGTTTGGTGAATTGTAGGGGAAAGACGTTATTGCCCTTCTTCCTACGGGATTTGGGAAAAGCTTAATGTACCAGTGTTAGGCATATTCTATCAAAAATGACTAAAATCATAAAATGTATTCCCTTTCCAATACAATCCTAATACAGAGCTCTGGGTCAAATCGCTGCCCCTGACGGCCTACATCTACACAGGACTTGAATCAGGCGATCTCAACGCCTGTGTTTCCCTCAACCCAGAGATATAAAACAACACTATGAATATGCAAATAATATGTTGAGCAGGTTCACGCCTTGGATCCTCCTTCAAGCTTCTTCGCATTTCTTCTTTGGAGGAAGTGACAATCCCCACCAAACCATTTGTAAATCACTGCCAAGTCAGTTTAGATAAGGCAGCCCGGGTTATCTCCACAGCCTCGGTTCTGCAAAGGAATTTCCTTAAAAGCACATTATGTATGACACACAGTAGTACCTTTCAACATTTATACGATTTCAGTGTTTAAGCTTCAACTCAATGTGTATCTTCATTAAACAATATTCAAACAAATATTAAATTAAAAAAGTACCTGCCTATCATCGAGCAAACGAATCCTAATGCTGCGAGGTCAGACAGTTTTCACAAAATGAAACTGGCTGATGAATCAGGCTACTGAAAATAAATAAATAAATACAAAATAAAAACTGCTCGGCTAAATATAAAACTCCTAATAGGCGAGTTTCATTGTTGACAAAAGCGCGCGTTGCATGCTGGGTATTATTTTGGTCGGCGGCAATAAACACTAATTCAACATGACGGACGGAGCGAGAAAGCACGTAAAGGGTATTGATCCCGGTTATTTATCCACTCTAACGGCAGAGGACTGAAGACGATTTGACCAGAAATTGGTCATAAGCATCAATGGACGCCAAATCACCCTTTTCAACCCCGACAAAAGGTGGACCAAACCAAATTTCTGGTCAGAATCACCAACTACCTGGACAAATATTCACTTGGGCGATATCCACAATGACTTGGTGGAAACTCCTGGGCCATTCACAGCAGAAAAGATGAAAACCTCCAAGAGTCTCGATGCGTCGTTGAACTTGTTGGAGTCCACGGTTTGTTAGGATCTTCTACGTTTGCTCTGCGAATGTTTGAAAGCCGTTTAATTCACCGTTAGCGGTTCTTTTCACTCGGAATACGAAAAAGACATTTTCCTTCTTCCGTGCTTCTATTTGTGCATCCGATAATGCAGCAGGAATTTACCATTATCGGGGATAAATATGTGAGGTTACGCACTTTGTTTGACCGCTATCGTGTTTCTTGCCTCCGACCAAAATATTTCCCAGCATGCAACGCGGGCTTTTAATAACAATGAATTTAGCTGAAACTCGCCTATATCTTAAGAACCATAATAGCACAAAGGAAACTTTTTGCAGCACAAACGACTGATTAGTTTTTGTGTACGTTTGCGTTTGATGAGGGGGCCAAATTCACGCAAGTCAAATGCAGGGGACAAATTTCCCTACAGGGTCAGTAAACTGAACCTTAAAAAGTAAACAGACTTAAAATACATTCTCCATAAAGTTTTATATTTTAACAAGCTCTCATTTAGTTGTTATTTTTCTATCAGATGGAGACTCTTAATTCCCTGTGAGTCCCATGAAACAGGTTTGTGAAGAGAGAAACATTACGTCACCCAAAACACTGCTGCCTTTATTCTTCAGAGCCAAATTCAACACAATAAGATTAGGTTTTGTTTACTTCACATTTTTCTTATCTGTAATAACAACTCCGAATTAACCGAGCCATCTACACAATGCTCCTCTCTTTCCTCTCATCGTCTTGTTTTGGTGGTGAAGCCTGCAGACGCAATCACTCACAAAGACTTTAATTAAGTTTCAATCTGGTCTTAGCAATTTTCACTTCGCCTTTTGCTTGGGCTTTCTCGTTTAGAGTTTTAGGGCAAAGTTAGGGAAGAAATTGGTGGAGAAATTGGTTGCTTGTATGAGTACGTAAATCATATGTGTGATTTATGATGTAGAAAAAAAATATAGCAAAAATACTGTACTACAAACCTCATGTCTAACAAAATCTAACTTGCATTCAGCTTGTTCGCTTAACAGCTACGAATTTGTGGATCTTAATGACTATGGTAAAGTAACAATGATTTTCAGGGTTTAAAAAAGCACATTACTTGTCAATTAGACTAAGTTCAACTTAAATGAGACGAGTAACTTCAACAGTGACCTATTATTGACAAGAGTCCAGCTCCATTTCCCAGTCTGTTCCGGTCCACCTTTTGCTGCCTCCCTGTTTTTCCTACAGCCGCCACTCATTCCTGAATCCTCCCAGGGCATCTCTATATCCTCCGTCTGTTCATTCAGTCTTTGCCAGATTA